ATACTATTAAACTCATTATTATCGTTCTCATCCGTATAATTCGCATTGGTATCTTTAGGGTTATTAGTATTACTATTATTGTTGTTATTATTGTTATTCGCATAAGTATTATTATTGTTATGATTGCTATTATTCGTCGTATTAATGTTATCAGTATTCATATTAATGTTATTAATACTATTATTATTAATACTAGTATTCGTAATATGGTTAGTTTTAGTATTATGTTCATGGTTGGTATTGTTATTATCAGTCTTATGATTATTAATCGTCGTAATATTATTTGATATGAACAACGCATTGTGCACCCCTAGAACTGGGGAGCAGGCCCTGTGGACCCCTGGCCAGGACCTCGACTGGGGTAGTTCGGGGGCTCCGAGACGGCCCAGAAGGATTGCCAGATGTTTCCAACTCTTCTGGGCCTTCGGGCCGCCCTCTTCGTGGCCACGGCCGGACACGTGCAGAAGTCCGAGCCCGAACGCCACCCGGCGGTTTGAGGAGGGGCAGCCGTCGCGCCACCTATTGCTTTTTTTTTGTTCTTCTTTCTCCCCCCCTTCTTCCTCTCCGTTATCATCGTCCTCCTAGCGTGGGTGTTGTCGGGGCAGGGGTGAGGATGGCTGCCGCTGGTTGGCACTGGCGCCCCTGGCCTCCTCAGTGGAGCTCCGCGAGCTTCCAGGCGGCTGACGACGCCCCCCCAGACTGTCCCAAGACCGCTCTTCTGGGTTCCCGCAGATCGGAGACGGCCCCAGATCAGACTGCTTCAGCATGGCCCTCCGTGAAGGCTCCGGGACCCTCCGTGAAGGCTCCGCGAGGGCCTCCAAGAGGGGCCCCAGAGGCGAGACTCCTGGATTGCCCATCGGTTCTGCACGGATTTTCGCAGCTTGCATTCTGCTCTCCTCCCGCTCCCGACCGCCCCGGGACGGGACACGAGGCATCCCCCAGAGGGCCCCGGGGCGGCGCAGAAACACCCACTGCGGCGCAGGAGATCTCCAAGGGGGCCCGCGGCGCCTCCACGATAGCCCGCGCGTGGGCGCCACAGGCGCCGATACCGTCCGCCTGCCCCCGGGAGGCCGCTGAAGCAAGCAGTGGCGAAGCGTCTTGGCGTGCGTGCCGATAGGCCTACCAAACAATGCTCTTAGAGTCTTTTGTGGTTTGCACGAAATGTTCTCAGAACATTTCTGGCTGGGACTGTCTTGTTCAAGCACGTCGGGTTTATGTTCTAAGAACATTGTTGTTGTTATTATATATTTTTTGGGTTCTAAGAACATGTCGTGGTATGCCGATCGGAATGCCGGGACGGTCGGTCCCTGCTCAACTAAAAGGCCCAGGAGCCCTGAGACAGCCCAACATTGCGTCGAGATGGATCCAGAAGCCCCCGCGACGCCCCAGAAAGGCCCCGAGAGGACTCCTAGGAGGGCGTCCCGAGGGAAAAGCATGCGGCTTCATAGCGGTTTCAGCGGTCCTAGCCCTCTGGTTCTACTAAACTTTTGGGCCGCTGAGGTAGGCCCGGGAGCCTGTAAGACTGCTCCGAGTCGGCCCGGAAGACTTCGCAAAAGGGCCCACAACGCCTCCCAAAGAGCCCACAGCAGGGCCCCACACTGGCTGGCAAACGCCAGTCAGCCCCCAGCATGCATCCGAGGGCCCGAGAGCCCACCAAGCGCCCTGCGGGCTTCCGAAGCGCTGCGGGGCGGCCGAAGATTGCCTGAAGACGGCTCCAGGTGCCCCCATGACGCTTCGAGAAGGCCCCGATGGGACCCCCAAGAAAACGCATGGAGGCAAGAACACATGTGTTTCTCTTGTTGTTTCTCAGTGATTTTCGAATGCTGTCTTTTCCTGTCAGCACTGTTAGGGGACTTCTGAAGGGACTCTGGAAAGCTGCCGAGGCCCTTCGAATATCTTCGAACACGTCAGAGCAGATCCCCACTCCTCCGTCCCCAAGCCGGCCCAAAGACACACGTAAGACGGATCGTATCAAGCTCCCAGAGATTCTCCAGGAGGATCCGAGCGATGTTTCCGGAAGCCTCTCTGGGAGCATTTACATCGATGTCCCCGGATATTCTCCGTGAGCATCCGAGCGAAAGTTTCGAATCAAACCGAAAGGGCCAGAAGAGGGCGAGGAGGAGGATGAGGAGGATGACGAGGAGGAGGAGGAGGAAGAGGAGGAGGAGGAGAGGTGTCGAGGACGACGAAGAGGACGACGACGACCCCCGACGGCCCCTAGAGGTCTTAGGGTGTCTCCCGAGTTCTGGCACGGGGGGTCACGGAAGAGCCAGCCACGCTCAAACCTGTGCAAACACGTGACGGAGTTATGATGTTCCAACGTATTCTAGCCTTGATCACCAGAGAGAGTTTCGAGCACCAACAAAAATACCGAAACTCGAGAGTTTTCACGCGTCGGGCCCTGGGAGACTCTCGTCCGACAATGTTTCGACACCCCTTCGACCCTTGTTCGGGTGCCCGACGTTGTTTCTGGGGTGTGGTCCTGGAGCACGATGGGAGCAACGCGAGTCTCAGGGCGTCTCCCGAATTCTGGCACGGGAGGTCTCGGCAGGGCCACCCACGTTAAAACCTGTGCAAACTCCGAGGCGGGAATTTATCCATATCCACCGCCTGGAGGGTCCGTTTTCGGAGCCTCGGCAGGCGGTGGGCATGGATATATATATATATATATATATATATATATATATATATATATATAGATTCGGGCCCCTGGGGGCCGAAACATATCCACATCCGCCGCCCGCTGGGGCACCGGGACGTCGGTTCCCAGCCGGTGGATGTGGATAAGTCCCTGCCTCGCACAAGCGCGTGCACGGCGTCGACGACGACGCCGCCGCCGGCCGCGGCTTTTTTAGCGCCCGCGGCGGCCAGAGCCGGCACGCTGGCCGAGCGCCGGCGGGGGGCCTCGGACCCCGGGCAGCCGCGGCGACGAGAGCGGCCCCGCGAGGCCCAAGATCACCGCCCACCAAACCACCCCAACCCAACCCGAAGGCCCCAATTCGCCCTCCATTTCCAGTCGGGGGGGGTCGGGGAACGTTGAGAAAACACACATGAAGCCCGTCCCCCCCCCCAACCCGAAATTCGGGTCTTCGGGTTGGGTTGGGGTGGTTTGGTAGGTAGTCACAAGAATTACAGACCTCGCTCTTCGACCCTGGGTTCAAGTCGGGCGTGTCCCTCTACAGGGGGGAAACCTCAAAAATAGTAACAAAAATGAAAAACATGCTCTCGGGACGAGTTTTTGATTTTTTTTGCTGTTGTTGATTGTCTTTGGCTTTTTCTTTTTTGCCCAAAATCCCCCCTGGAGGGGGACACATGCCCGACCTAGAATCACAAACCTCGTCCTTCGACCCTGGATTCCACCTTCTCCCTCCTCGACCGCAGACGGCTGCGACGACGTTTTGCGGCGACAAAACGACGACCACGACCACCACCACGACGGCCACGGCGACGACGGCAGTGACGACGAGGAGCCCTGGCAGCCTCCAGAGCTCCGACGGCGGCCGCGGCGACGACGGTCGGCCGACGACGGCCGACCGCTTCCACCTATCTCCATCGGGGTACCCTGACACGTCGATTAGTGAATCGGCCGTTTTCGGTTCGCGGGAGGGTGTCGCGGCCGTCATTTTTGCGGGTCCAGGTCCGTCGGTTTCGGCCCCAGGCCGTTTTCATTAAAGGGAGGTTTACTAATGGGAGGTTTGTCCTCCGCCGACTCCAGAGCCCAGAGGCCTCCGGACGCCCCGGAAAAGCACAAGGCGCGCCCCACAGCGTGTGCTCTCGGATGCAACTCCTGGGAGGTCACATTTCTGTTCTCGCCCGGGTCCGAACTCCGGCTTACAATCCAGCTCAATCCCCGCTCAATCCGGCTCAGCCCCGCTCAGTCCCCTTTCACCCGGCTCGATCCTGCTCAGCCCGAGGGGCCCCCTCCGGCGTAACAGCCCCCCCAATGGGCCTCAGTCCGCTGTCTAACTTTTCCGACGAAGGCCTCCCAGCAGTTGCCTCCTACGATCACGTCCACGGACGACGACCACCACCACCGCCACCGGGCCCGGCGGCCCGGCGGCCTGGCGGCCTCGGGGGGGCCCTCCTCCTCGGCCGCCGCGGCAGTCGAGTCCTCTGCGCAGCTCGGGAGGCACGCGGTGGTTTTATCGGCGCGTCGCGCGCCGACTTGTCGCACGGCTTCGCGACCGCCCACGGAACCCCCACGCGAGTCAGGAGGGGACAGGAACACACAGACAGAATTCATCGTCGATGTCCCAGAAAAGATAGGAAAATATGGGAAGTGGGGGGGAAGACGAAAACCTAGAACATCTGGGAAAACATGGGGAATCCTGTTATTTGTGTGTGTGTTTATTTGTGTTTCCCAGGGCCCCCTCAGCTATCCCCCAGAAGGCCCAGCACTTCCACGCGCAAAGAGCGGTGCTTGCCTGTGGGACCTCTTCCTGGGTACCCAGGGCATCGTGGATTGGCGCGAGGCCCACTGTCAACGAATGCGCAGTCGGCTAGAGGCTAGAGCCTAAGCGCGCATGGCGCGCCGCAGTCGGCCAGAGCCTACGCGCGCGTAGCGCGCATGGTTCTAGTATGTATGTGCGTGTGTATGTATGTATGCATGCATGCATGCATGCATGCATGTATGTATGTATGTATGCATGCATGTATGTATGCATGTATGTATGTATGTATGTATGTTTGTATGCATGTATGCATGTATGCATGCATGCATGCATGCATGTATGCATGTATATATGTATGTATGTATGTATGTATGTATGTATGTATGTATGTATGCATGTATGTATGGATGTATGTATGTATGTATGTATGTATGTATGTATGTAGTGTATGTATGTATGTATGTATGCATGCATGTATGCATGTATGTATGTATGTATGTATGTATGTATGTATTTATGTATGTATGTATGTATGTATTTATGTATGTATGTATGCATGTATGCATGCGTGCATGCATGCATGTATGTATGTATGTATGTATGTTTGTATGTTTGTATGTATGCATGTATGCATGCATTCATGTATGTATGTACGTATGTATGTATGTATGTATGTATGTAATGTAATGTAATGTAATGTAATGTAATGTAATGTAATGTAATGTAATGTAATGTAATGTAATGTAATGTAATATAATGTAATGTAATGTATTGTAATGTAATGTAATGTAATGTAGTGTAATGTAATGTAATGTAATGTAATGTAATGTAATGTATGTAATGTATGTAGTCTATGTATGTAGGTATGTAGGTAGGTAGGTAGGTCGGTAGGTAGGTAGGTATGCATGCATGTATGCATATATACACATATGTATATACGTATAGATATATGCAAGCAGGTCTGGGTGCAAATCTGTATGTTGGTCCTGGCCGTGTATATCTGTGTAACTATACACATGTGTATGCACATGTGTGTGTGTGTGTGTGGCCATGCATGTCTGCATGTGTGCACATGCCCAGACAAAGGGGGGGCGGGGGCCGCCACCGTGGGCCCTGCTGCCCCCACGGGGCGCCGCGCCGCGCGCCGGCCGGCCTCCCGCGCGTGGCGGGCCGGCCCCGAGGCCGCGGCCCTGCCGTAGTATAGGGCCCCCCCCACGCGCGGCGGCGGTGGTCGGGCCGGGCGACAGGGGGGGATTGGGAAGGGGGGGGGTTACAACACTTGCTGCATGCAGCTGGGTTCGGCCCCGCCGCCGGGCCCATTCCTCGATACACACGGGCGCCTCCAGCACCGGGGGGCGCCGGGAAAAGCAGCCGCGAGAGCTGGCTCTCACCCACCCCCCTTCTGCTATCCCCCCCTTGCGCCCGGCCCGAGGTGGGCGCGCGCGCCCTGCTCCGGAGGGCCTCGTCGGTTACGCGTGCAGCTCGGAGGCTGATGGGCCTCTTGCCCGGTCGCGTCGACTGTGAGCGAAGTGGCCGTTTTTTCGGTTCGCGAGAGGGCGTCGCGACCGCCGTTTTTGGCGGGTCCAGGTCCGTCGGTTTCGGTCCCGGGCCGTTTTTTTCACCAAAAGGGTGGTTTGCTAGAGAGAGGTTTCTCCTCCGCCGATGCAGCCAACACGGTGAAAGAAGGACCGCTTGGGGTTCGGAGGGGCTCGATGTTCCTGTGGTCTCTACATGGCTGCTTCTCTGGCGTCCCTCGGCCACGCGGGCGCTTCTGGCGGCAAAGCAGGGGTTCGATGGTGGTTACTCGTTCCTGATTTCAGCAGCCCGGCTGCACGCGCAGGATCAGGGGCAACGTCAGGGGGGCACCGGGGATCGGCCCTTGGGGGAATGCATCGGCCCTCAGTTGCCCGCTCCTCGCCGCCGGGGGTCCCGAGGGCCTACCCCGGCCAGGAGCGCGCGGCTTCGTGAGTGGGGGGTCTATCGCCGATTGATCGGCGATGCGTCCCCGATTCCAGGTCGATGCTCCCCCCCCCTCGCCGAGCTGCTTCCCCCCTAACGTCGCGCCCCATCAGGAAGGTCCGAGCGTTTTCTTCGGGTGGGGGGGCAACGGGTGAAATCCTGAAATGCCGTTTCGATGGATTCTCGAGGCTTGAATCTGCAGAGGGTGAATCACAAGACGGATTGAGTTTCGAGGGGCAACAGCCCATCTGGATTTCACTCTGAGCCATCCACCCTCTGAAAGTGCGGAGAAAGTGGCCCTTCGCAGGAGTGGCCTTCTGGCAGCGGGCGCAGAAGGGGCCCCTTCAGCGCTCAGACCTGCTCCTCCGAGGTCCTCCGCGAGCCGCGCACTACGGGCCACCCTTGCCCGGGGCCGCTCCTGCGTGCAGGCCTGGCTCTCTGTGCGTCTGGAGCGTCGAGGGGCGGCCGGGGGGGGGGCGGGCGCTCGGGCGCGCTGTGCTGTGGAGAGGGCTCCGCCCCTCCGTCCTCGCACCGTCGAGGCTCCACTCACCGTCGTTGCCTCCCCTCCCGAGGACGATCCAGTCGTCGTCGTCGCCGTCGTCGTCGACGTCGTCGTCGTCGTCGTCGTCGCCGTCGTCGTCGACGTCGTCGTCGTCGTCGTCCGTCGTCGTCGTCGTCGTCGTCGTCGTCGTCGTCGTCGTCGTGCGTCGTCGTCGTCGTCGTCGTCGTTGTCGTCCGTTGTCGTCGTCGTCGTCGTCGTCGTCGTCGTCGTCCGTCGTCGTCGTCCGTCGTCCGTCGTTTGTTGTCGTCCGTCGTCGTCGTCGCCGTCCGTCGTCCGTCGTCGTCGCCCGTTGTCCGTCGTCCGTCGTCCGTCGTCGGCCAGGGCTGGCGGCAGGGCGCGCTGTGGCTGGTTCGGGTGATGCCAGAATTGGCCGTGGTTCAGAGGAGGGCGAGTCGGGGTGATGGCCGAATGGCTTTCTGGGGCCCCCCCCGTCGTCTGGACGCAGCTCATCGCTTAGACCCCCCGGTAGGGTCCGGGGATCGATTTTGAACTGCCGGCCCAGAATAAAAAACAGGCTCCCGCCGCGTCTGCGCGCACGACGACGAGAGCGACGAGAGACGAGCCACGAGCGACGACGACGACGACGACGACGACGACGACGACGGCGACGACGACGACGACGACGACGACGACGACGACGACGACGACGACGACGACGACGACGACGACGACGACGACGACGACGACGACGACGACGACGACGACGACGACGACGACTGCGGACCAGACTCCTATGCGGATCCCAATGCGCACCGCTGCAGTGCCCGGAGTGCACTGGGGGGGGAGCCTTACGTCATAGGGGGGGGGGCAGCGGGGGCCATGACGCCCATCATGCCCCAAGCAATAAAGAAACGGGCTCTAGAAATGGTCCAGGCCTGAGGAGTCAACAACTTTTCGCGCCATTTCGTGTTTGGGCTCCCTAGGCCTCGTGAGGGGTGTTCTGGAAGCCATCTGCGCCTCAGTCGGAAAGCTGGAGCCACCTTGGGGAGGAGGGGCGGCGATCGAGCAGGAACAGCACCTTCCTCAAAGTCCCAAACCGTTCGAAACACGCCATGCTCTCTACTTAGTCGTTTTCCCATTCGAGGTACCCTGAGACAAGGGTCGATGACGTCACGTTTCGCGCCGGCGGCGTCTGGGAATGCTTAGGAATGACGGAGGACGGGTACCACCAGCGTGTAGGTCGCGATCTGCACCACAACGCCTGTGTACACCACAGTGCTTGCGTGCACCACGGCGCTTGTGTACACCATACCGCCTATGTACACCACAGCAGCCGCGTGCAACACAGCGTCAGTTTGTGCCATCGTGCCTGCGGACACGTGCTTGCGTACACCACGTCAGCCGGGTGCAGCACAGCACCAGTGCACATCACAATGCCTGCGTGCATTGCAGTGCCTGTGTGCACCACGGCGCCTGTGTGCACCACAGCAACCGTGTGCAACACAACACCACCGTTGCATATAGAATGTTGACAAAATGGAACGCTTGAAATCCACCAAGAACAATATAAAGGAAACCTTATGGACAACGGAGCGCCGCTGGAATCTACGAGTCCTCCCAAGTCCGCCCGCATCACCCTCACTCTTCCCATCTGCGTCCAGGAGGCTCCAGCTCAATTGGCCGTCCGAGAACCAAGAGGACCGATTCAATCGACCATTCTGCGGTGCACGCTGACATGCGCACGTGCGTTGTAGCGCCAACCCGCACGACAGGGGGTAAGGACGAGGAGGAGGAGGAGGAGGAGGAGGAGGAGGAGGAGGAGGAGAAGGAGGAGGAGGAGGAGGAGGAGGAGGAGGAGGAGGAGGAGGGAGGAGGGAAAAACGTCGCAGCACTTTCGTGGCGTGGCGTCCAGTTGTCCGCAGCAGATCCTCACGCACATGCTCCTTCTACCTGTCCTATGCACGCAGGCGCTGAGGTGTACACCAGCGCTGCGTTGCCTGCGGGTGCTGTGGTGTAGACAGGCGCTGTGGCGTGCACAGGCGCTGCGGTGCGCGCAAGCATTGTGGTGTGCACAGGCGCTGTGTTGCCCATGGTTGCTGCGGTGTACACATGTACACTGGCGCTGCTGCTGTGGTGCACACAGGCGCTACGTTGCACACGGCCGTTGCAGTGTATGCAGGCGCTGTGGTATACACGCGCGTTGTGGTGCACGCGAGCGTTGTAGTGTACACAGGCGCAATGGAGCATATCGCCACCTACATGTTTTTCGCGTCGTCGTCGTCGTCGTCGACCTCGTCGTCGTCGTCGTCGTCGTCGTCGTCGTCGTCGTCGTCGTCGTCGCTCGTCGCTCGTCGCGTCGTGCGGGCGGGCGCGGCTGTGGTGCCGGAGCCACACGGCGGGGGGGGGCGTTACGTCATCCCCCCCCCCGCCCCCCCCCCCCATGACGCCCGTCATCGCCGAACATAGAGAGAGGCGCTCTGAGTAATGCCCGACTGGTGGGCTCCCCCCTCCTTCCTCTTTTCGAAGCTCCGTCTTGGTCGTCGTCGTCGTCGTCATTCGTCGTCGTCGTCGTCGTTGTCAACGTCGCCGTCGTCGTCGTCGTTTGTCGTCGTCGTCGTCGTCGGTGGTCGAGGACCGAGGATCGACGATTGAAGGCCGGATTGAAGGTCGATGGTCGAGTTTCGAGGAGGAGGGGGGAGGGGAGGAGCAGGAAGAAGAGGAGGAGGAGGAGGAAGACAGGGACAACTAGCGAATGTTAGAACATAGTCATGCGATCGGGTGAACAGTGCCGCTTAGTAATTCCAGCGGTGCGTGTCCGTTGTGGGCCACAACTGGTCGGCTCAAGTCGTATCTTGCCCCATCGTGAATGGAAAACTCCTGCCATATTTTCCTGGTGGTGGGGACCGTGGTTCGCTCCACGGGTTCCAGAGCAGAAATGGCGGCGGCGGCCGCTGCAACGACCCCTGTGGACCTCGGCAACAATGACCGGGCTTAAACCGTATCGTTACTGAAGGTACACGAAATCTGGCACAACCTAGGCACGAACGGGCTTGCAGAACCATGCGCTGTAGTTTGCGCGAACGGGGATTTCAGGTATGTCACCTCCGCCTTCAAATCTAACCACGATTATGATGTTCCAACCTACTTCAGCCTTGATCGCCAAGAAGAATTTCGAATACCAGGGAATCAGGTGAGTTTTCGCGTGTCGGGCCCTGGGGGGCGATTCTCGTCCGGCACTGTTTCGGTACTTTTCTGGGTGCTCGACATAATTTCTGGGATGTGGCCGCTAAGTACGATGGGAACAACACAAGACCACGAAGGGATCGGGGCGCTCTTCGAGCACGGTGCCACGCTCGTTTCTTGGACGGTTGGCAATGGTGAGTCAGTCACGGTGCTGAAGATGAGTTACAATATTGATGCATTGCTGCTGTCGGCCACCAATCGAAAAATGCACCGCGAGGGTTGGAGGGGTTGAAGCAAACCAGCTAATGATTACAAGGCCGCTCAACAGTTACAGACGTAACTGGCGACCGGACCAAATTTAGGGAATTGAGCGACAAGCTTTTGAATGGGCCTGTCCAGGTGGTGCATGGTTATCAGGAAGCTTTGAAGAATCTGATCAACAAATGTGAGACCATGGGTGGGGCGTTATCATACGACGATGGTGACCTGATGCACATCATGCGCTGCAGGCTTTCGCTGAGCGAATACAGTAAGGCGTCGTACACCCAAAAGAAAGAGGATGACGCAACGGCGGATCTTCGTTAGATGGTGATGACTACGCTAAGCTGGTCGATGACATATGGTATGTGCGGAACGACACATGAGAGGGCACGGGGCTTCGCGGAAAACGGAAGAGTATACATGAGGGCGGCGGCCCACTGGCATGTCATACGATATACAAGTGGGATCTTGCCATTACTGGAATTGCGCATACGATGAACCTGGCAAAGGACCTTGAGACGCCGCAGAAGGTGAACGATGTGTCGACCCAACTCGAGTAGTGGAGTGCGCTGGTGGAGTCCAAGGCGAAGGATGGGTCCGCAGATTCGTTACTATTACCATGCAGGGTTACCGCGTTGAGGGTTTTCATAACCCGCGCAGGATCTGCAGGATTGCTTCATGATGCCAGGCTCGCTAAACGCTGAGACGTATTAGGAGCTCTTCATCAACTGTGAAGACTGGGCCACAAAGGAAAGATTTGACGCCGACAGGGGCAATGCTTTCATGGAGATCTGCCAATTTTGCGTTGACGATGCTGGGGGGTGCGGCACGCGCGTGAACGAGTCCGGCTATTTTGGCGATGGTGCGTGCTGGTGGACCTGGAATGGAGAAATATGAGCGGAAACGGTAACGCGCGCGAAGTTGGCAAGCGGAAAGACAAGGGTCGAGGGCCCATGAGTTACAGGCGTGGAGGGTATGCGCACGCCGCCAACGATTGCTGCGCCGAGTGAGCTACTAGGGGAAATGGAGGCGGAAAAACGGGCATTCCAAGGTGCCAGCGGTGATCAAGGAGCCCAGTTGGAAGGATAGAAAGGATGCATCGGGGCGCCGGGGGTTGCCCGGGAGGTCGCGTTAAAGTCGGTCACGAAGGGCGCCCCATCGGGAGGTTGCCAAGGGAAAGGGGTCGCAGGATGGAATGGGGGGGGGGTTAGGGAGGATGCGCGCCAGTCAGTGAGAGGGGGCGTTACACATGTGGTGATACTTGTCAATGCGCAGCGCGGTGCCCCAGGAACGCCGGCGAGGTCGCCCCCGGGTCAAGGCGGGTTGGAGGCGCGGGAGAGCCCGCGCGCGCGTTGGGGCGACCCCTGCCTGGGCCAGCGTGCTGCAGCGTCAAATTGGGCGAATCCGCTGAAGCAGGCGGAGGTATCGGCGACCCCGCGGCGCCGGGGACAGTTAGAGGGGGGCAGGAGTGGGGGGCGCAGTGCCGAGGTGCAGCATGGGGGGGCGGGGGGGCAATGCGAGGGATGGAGAGGAGGCGCGTGCATCATGACCGCAGCGCTCACTTTGGCCGCATCATCAAACCAGGCTAACCGCGTCGCCGAGTGCGTCGAGCAGGAGAACAGCTGGATGCAAAATTACGCCGAGCAGCAACGAGTGGAGATGGAGGCCTGACAAGGAAGTCAACGAGGTCCCTGTAAGGGGGGCCGAGGGGCCAGGAGAGCGGTGTGGATGTGATAGAGGTCGCCGTGGGCGCAGGAGCGCGCGGCGCGGCTGGGCCCCCGAAGGCTGGGGCCCGCTTCCTCATTGAACCCGCGGGGGCATCGGGGGGCGGCAATCGTTGCAGCGCGGCAAATGGGCCAGTTGCCAGGAGCGATTTGGGCTGCGAGTTATCATGGGTAAGTGCGAATAGGGGTCCATGGTGAGCGTGTGCATCCTAGTAGCCGATGATAAATCGCAACGAGATTCTGCGGTCCATTCACGCCTGCAGCTATCCGCGCCGCGACTGCAGCGCCATCGCCGCATGTCCGTGGTGCGTTGATATGGCCATTCAATGATGGCCGTGCTCTGATCTGATAGATCGTTGGCATCTAGACCTCGCGTTCTCCCGCGGCGATGGGCTGCTTGCATGGGCGCAGGGCGCGATCAAGTGCTGCGTCGAGATTCGAGAGGAGAGGCAGAGGAACGCCGCGTTGTCGAATCCGAGCGTCGAGGCACTGGTTGTCCGCGAGGAATGGGGCCGCTTGGCCGCGAGGGCAAAGGGGGCCACTCGCGCGGCCTGGTTCGCCATCAGTTCGGCCGTCGGTGGCTTCCGACCGAATCCGGGAACGGGGCCACCGCTGCCGCCCGCTAGGGCTGATGGTCTCGCCTTCCAGGGGGCGCCCGTCCGCGGCGCCGCGACGGCGCGCGCGCCTGCCTCATTCGAGACTGGCGGGGGGGCCCCTGGCAGTCGCCCGTCTCCCCAACAGATGAGATAATGAGGGGTGGGCCCGGTCGCGCGCCAATTTTGCCTGGCGCCCCGGGGCGCCCCTGCGCGCGTGGCGCCCCCGGCGCAGCCGTGGCGACGTCGTCCGCCGATGGCGCTGCGGCTGCTGCGACGCCGAAGGCGGCGGCGCCGCCGCCATCGCGCCCGGCATCGAGGGCCGTCGGCATCCCGCGCGCGGATCGAAGGGGGGCGCGCGCGTCTGCCGCGCCGCCGACGCGCCCGCCGACGCCGCCGAGGCGCGCCCCGCGCCTCGTCGACATGACCTAGCGAACGCAATGGGGCGCGCAAGATTCTGGCGTGGCCGGCCTGGGGCGGGTGGATATGCATTGGTCGTCGGCGCGGTGACTATTGCTTCCTTCCATTTCGATCCGCAGGGCGCCCCTGAGACCGCTGGCGCATGGCGTCGTTGCTATCGCGTGTCCAGGAAGCGCTGGCCAACGTACCTTCGGTGAAAACGTCTTGGTCAGCGCTGTCCCTTGCGCGCGCTTCTCGCGTGTGCCTTGTCGCTCAAACGCAGCCATGTACTGCCTCAGCGTTTGCTTTTGGATTGAGATCTGAATTGGTACACAGCCACAGTGAGGAAACCAGGGCTATTAAAAGAGAGTATACACATCGATCGCATTAGACAAATGCGTTGATAACACTATCACCATCGCATTGCCAGAGATGACACGTCGCGGCATGGGGAGCTGGCGGGGGGTTTGGGGTGCTCTGCCAGCTGCATAATCATTGAACCATGTTGCGTGGACTTCTTGTGTAGAAAAGGTCCAGTTGGGTGAGTGATCCACCGCAGTGCTCTTCTCGCTACTTACAGGCGCGCATTTGACATGCCTCTCCTATGGACATTTCACTCTTGCAGGCGCGGGGCAACTTGGTTCGGATGATTGCGCCGCTGACGCATGGCTGATCTCCGCGGCTGTCCATCTCTCGCGTTTCTACAGTGCTACTGGCAACTCAACCTTGCATTGGGTTTCTACCCGTCCGACTCGGTCTGGCCGATTGACGCGATCTCCCATGCAAACTTCACAATGTGATAATTGAGACTCTGCGCCAGCGGCATCCTGACCACTGCAGGCGGATCAGGGACTGATTCGGACGGCTTGCGCAGCGCAGTTGTTTTTTGTGGCTTGCGCTTAAGGCGCCCTGAACGCTGGCGCGCCATGATCGCGCCGCCGCCATGTCCAATTGCACGTCGGGCGCGCATCCGTCTTACTCGCGATTTCGAATGGCGTGATCGCCTGCGCGCCTCTCAGCTTGCCCTGCCCAGCCTTTCGCGCCCCCCCGCCTCCGCTGGCGGCGGAAAACGTTCCGGCGTTTGTGCCGCGGGTGGACGCGGCAGCGTCGCGAGAGGTAGTCTTTTCCCACCTCGCCTTGCCGACTGGGCTGATACAGAGCGGCTTGCAGTCGGGTTAGGACTGGGGCCAATTTCCTTCGCTCCCGAACCCCTTCCCATGCGTTTCGCGCTGCGTCTGGCGGGTCGTGTTTCGGGGCGGGCGGGGTGTGTGGGGATGATCCCAGTGTTTTTGATATTCCCTGTGCCGTTGCCTCTTTCGGCTTGCAGGCATTGACAAGCGGCGTGCTTGTAGGACCTGTGGAGATGGGCAAAAAGGCAAAACCTTCATCATCGACTTTAATTCATTGCTGCCGTCTTTACCAACGGATGCTCGCGACGGGATCGGCCATTCGGTCAGACCCCCCTTCACGCATGGGCCCCCGAGACCTCTGGGGTCCTCAGGAGGACGCGCGCCGATACCTCTCAGCCGCAGCTTGCTTTCGATTTGCATGTTCTCTTTCTTGGAAACCGCTTTCGGGCCATGGGTTCCCTCACTGTCAAAAGACGCGCTGGTCCCCTTGAAGGGGTCGGGAGTGGCGGGGGCCCGCGGTTCGAGATTGCGAATTCTTCGGGGGTCTGGGTTCCCTTCGTTTTGCCGCCCCGTTTCCTCTTTGTTCTTCCCCGCCGCTCCCTTTCTCCCCTCCTCCCCCCTTCCCCTTCCTCTTTTTCCTCCCTCCTCTGCCTCCCTCCTCCCCCTCGTCCTCTCCATGCTCCCCGCTGTTCTTCCCTCTTCCCCCCTTCCTGTGCATCAGAGTATATGATCCCGAATTTGGTTTTGGCAGATCAGTTGTTGATTTCATCAGTTGATGTGCGGGCCCACGTCCACTGCCGCCAGCCGTTCTGTCCCACGCATTGATGGACCCGTCGTTGCCATCCTCGTCGTTGTCCTCCTTACGTGTTTCGTTATGCTCCGATCTTGGAGTAGCAGTTGGCCCTTTTGAAGCCTTTTACGTCGAACAAAGCCACTCAAGGTCATTGTGGGCAACGCTGCGAGGGATCATGGCCTTGGTAACGTGGATTCAGAATACCGTGTTTGGTTGATGGTTGTCGGCTTGGGAGCGTGGGCCCAGCGTACCTTGGAAAATATCCAGGCAGTGGAAACGAGGAACGTGTGTTTTTTGAAGGGATCGTGACCCGTGGGGCGCAGATCCAGCGTGTTTCCGCTGCACTGTTTGCCACACTCAATGATATCCAGAGAGCCTCCATCAAACGGAGTGACGTTCTGGCGGTAGCGCTGGTAATACCCTTGCATCAATGAACGTGGTGTTCCCAGCGCAGGAACCGAAACAGTAACGCATGTCGGTCATTTCCGCCCAATGAAACAGTGCTATCGTCGCAGATGTAGTCGCACTCCTGCTTCAGTGACATTGGTGTCTCGCTGCGAAGTGTGCCACATGGAATGACCTCCATTGGGTTTTTGTCCAATAGGAACGGCGGTATAGTCGTATCGCTTGTCTTGTGGTAACTCGTTGATGAGCGTGTGTGTCGATTAGGTCTGACCGCCCGACACCCGACTATGTGATTCTAGAGGGCTTGAACGCAATTCAGAAGAGATGGATGGGGATGGGTAGGACGTTGAATATGGCGCGAGCGCACCTAGCTTGACTCCATGCCTCTGTATGCCTTTCTCCCTCCCGCCTCCCGCCTCCCCCCTCCTTCCCCTTTTTCTCGACCCCCTCCATGTCCCGTCGTCCTCGTCGTCGCCATCGTCTCGTCGTCCTTGTCGCCGCCGCGAGATCCGGATACCCGACTCCTTGCCGTTGCGTTCGCAGCTGTAGGATGCGACGGACTTTGGCACCCCTCTGCCAGGCTGTTACTTAGCCGTCTGGTGTGTATGCATCACCTGGGCGAGATCAGTTTCACTCTATTTCTGCACGCCTTGCATCGCCCGCCAAACGTGTGGAGCCGTTGCATGCCTTGCGCCGTTCGCCAAAGAGCGCATCGGGCAGAGGTCAAGCGAGGGGCGGCTTCGGGACCCGCCTGTAACTAGGCATTTTTTGGGCCGCCTTGCAAATTTTCCAGACGCAGGGTGTCCTTGCTTGAGCCATTGAAGTTTCAGTTTCGCGCTGGTTTTGAGGCCGCTTTAGCCTCGGTTGCTGGCAAATCTTCAGGAGAGCTATGTGAGCACGAGTGGCAGAGGGTGTGAACGCGCGGGCGCGTGTGTGCGGGAGGGGGTGTGGGACAGTGTCCGAGAAGAGAGCGTGTCTGCGAAGGCTTGCAAACCTAGCCCCTGGCCGCGAGAGAGGACGTGGGACAGACCGACAGGGGGCGAGATGGCCAGCAGGTCCTTTTGGTTTCTGGGTGCAGCTGCAGAGTCGACCGCCACACTCCCACCAGAACAGGTCGAGATGCCCCCCTCATCGCCTTCCTTCGGGAGGGTCCTCGGGTGACTCTGCAGAGCCGCTGCCAGCGGTATGCAGTGAGAGGGCGGAGTGTGGCCGTCTTGGACGTCCCAGCACCCATTTCTCGTGGCGGCCCGCCTCGAAGCTCTCCACGCATGCACGCCTCGTTGGTTCGGCGGTGGCCTGAGCAAGAGACTGTTTTTTAACGCTCTGGCGACGACCCGGGGTAAATCGGGCCCGCCCGCCCGCCCGCCCCCCTCTCCTGGATATTCTGACCCTGTGGGTTGCGCAGGTCCGAAGGGGGTGCGCAGCACTGGTGCGCGCGGGCATGCGTGGATCTGCCCAAAGCGAAACGGTTTATGTGCTCGGGCGGCACCTCCCCCCCCCACCGGATGATTCGGGTTGCCGCCGAGCATCCAGAGGGACGCGTGGGCAGAAGAGCGCGCGCTTGGCAGCTCCTCGGGGAACACGAAGCGCGAGACCTGGAGGGAGGGGAAGTGGAGGACAAAGCAGAAACACCTCAGATGTGCTGCGCTGTCTTGTGCACTATCAGGAATTATTTCTAACCCCTCCGAAGCACCCTCCAGAAGCTTTGCGTCCCCACCTCCCCTGGTATGAGCGGGCCCGAGCGTGGCTCCTCGGTGCGGTGTTCGGGCCCCGGCGAGGGGTGGCAGGAGGAATCGGAATGGGGATCTCGGGGGCGGAAACGAGGGGGGTGATGACTAGGGGGGGTGGATATCATGGCGGGGGCCATGACATCTCCCCAGATCTCGTGGCGCCTCTTCTTGTTTCATTCCGTCCCTGGCCCCCCCGCTGGGCCGCGCACATGCCGCCAGTCATGATTTGCACCCCCCGCTCTTGGACACCCCCCTCTTGGCCGCTCCCGAGGATCGATCGGAACGATTGCGAAGCAACATCCACTGGAGAGGGTGCGGAGGAGACGGAGGGGGACGAGGTGGAGTAGCATGAGGATCAGAGGAGGATAATAATGCACCCTGGGATAGGTCCATGGAGTAGCGGTATCGGTACCCTTTTGTTTCCCCAGGCGGGGAGGAGGAGGAGGAGGAGGAGGAGGAGGAGGAGGAGGAGGAGGAGGAGGAGGAGGTGGACCAGTCTATATCAGCCAGCGTTGGCTCCAAATATATTAGACGACTCAAATCAAGAAATCAGAGGTATCGAGCATGCTTGGAATCCGCAACTCAGCAAGCAAACAAGAGTGCAAGCAAGCAAGCGCGCAAGCGCGCAAGCAAGCAAGCATACATAAGGGGGGTGCCATTGGAAAAGGGGGGGGGGTAGGCATAGGCATAGGCATAGCCATAGGAATTTTGGGGGCATATGGATTAGGGGGGGGGCAACGGACCAATTAGTAGGTTTTGAGCTAGGACTCCTATAGGGCAAGCCTATTTGGAGAAAACCCAAGAGTCATGAACGATGTGAAGGACCGATGCCTGTATTACATACAGGAGGAGGATGACTACTAGGAACCACATAAGCTGCCAGGACAGTCGGTACTACGATGCTGCCATTATTCGATCGAATGCCTGGAACGAACGAAGTCTGCAGCGCTACGGACGAGGTACGCCGTGTACAACGTTGCGCGCAACTTCGCCCTCGGTACAGACCTCCCCTGCTACTGCATGGCACCGCCGCTTCTCTATCCTATTTCCTTCTCTTTCGTGGGCTTCAAGATTACCCCACGAACATCCGTCTGACCTTCAACAGCGTCCAACCTTAATGGAGGTCGTCCTTAAAGTTCTTCGTCGCTAGTTTTGGCGCCACGACGCTAATTTTAGAGGTTAAGGCCGTCGTTGAGGATGGTGTGGTGGCCTCCCCCTCCTCCTTCCCCCCTTCGGGAAGTGTCCCCCGTTGGCGTCCGTCGGCTGCGCCTGCGTCTGCGTCGGAGGGCGCCCGCGCCTTGGAGGAGGAGGAGGAGGAGGAGGAGGAGGAGGAGGAGGAGGAGGAGGAGGAGGAGGAGGGGGAAGGAGGAGAAGGAGGAGAAGGAGGAGGAGAAGGAGAAGGAGTAGGAAGGGGAGGAGGAGGAGCAGGACGAGAGGGAGGAGGAAGAGGAGGAGTGATGGAGGGGGGGCCCCGCGCGCCTGCGTCGGTCGGGCGCCCCCGCGCGCGGGGGCCCGTTCGCGCGCGCGGAGTTGTGGAGCTGCGGGCCGCCGAGTGCCGCTGCTGCCGCGGGAGGGGGGAGGAGCAGGGGGGGGGAGGAGAGGAGGAGGAGTATCACGAAAGGTGTAGGAGGAGGAAGAAGACGAGGTCGAGGGCGAGGAGGAGGAGGAGGAGGAGGAGTCGAAGGAGGAGGAGGAGGAGGAGCAGGAGGAGGAGGAGGAGGAGGAGGAGGAGGAGGAGGAGGAGGAGTTGAAGGAGGCGGAGGAGGAGGAGCAGGAGGAGGAGGAGGCGGAAGAGAAGGAGGAAGAAGGAGCGAACAGCGAGGAGCGAGGAGCGAGGAGCGAGCAAGAGTGAGGTAGGAGCAGTGCGGGACGAATGGGGCACGAGGAGGAACGAGGAGCCACAGGAGCGAGGTATGAGGAACGAGGAGCGAACCGGGAGCGACACATGTGCGAAACGGATCGAGGTAGGAGGAGCGAGGACCGAGGGGCGAACGAGGAACAAGCTGGAAAGGAGGAGGGCCAGGAGGAGGATGCAGATGATGCTGATGGTGATGCTGCTGCTGATGATGATGATGATGATGATGATGATGATGATGATGATGATGATGCTGATGATGATGATGATGATGTTGATGCTTATGATCGTGATCATGCTGATGATGATGATGCTGGTTATTCCGATGACGATGATGCTACTGACGTTAATGATGATGATGATGATGCTGATGAGGATGATGATGATGCTGATGATGACGACGATGCTGATTTTGATGACGATGAGGGCGACGACGGCGATGATGCTGCTGATGATGATGACGCGGATGGTTGTGGTGATGATGCTGATGATGATGCTGCTGCTGATGATGATGCTGATTGTGCTGATGATACTGAGGATGAGGAGGAGTGGAGGAGGAGAGGAGGAGGAGGAGGAGGCGGAGGAGGAGGAGGAAGACCAGTGAAAGCCCAAGAGTCGTCAACGATGTTGGAGTAAACCCTCCCTCCAAACTCCCTCTTCATAGGCCCCCACAACGGTTCATTTCCATTGATGGAACTGCCTCGTTGGAAGGCACCCGTTTGAAAACCCTAAAGCATGCGAAGGCATTGTTCTCGGGATTCCAACGCCATGGACCAACCGGACTGTTGCGTCTTTACGATCCTGACTCGTGCCAGAACGCCATTCCTAGGATTTCAGCGCAGAGAACCAACGTAACTGTTGCACCCGCATAATCTTGAATCCTTCCGAAATGCAATTTCTGATACGTTGACGATGGGCATCCGTGAAACTCTCGCAAAGTTTTAGACGAATGCTCGCGGCGCTAAGGCGAGAGCCACATTTTGAACAAGGAACTGCCGTCAATCCGTGAAACTCTTGCAATTTGTTCGAACGAATGTGCGCCGCGCTCAGGCGAGAGCCACATTTTGAAAACCACCCGCCCTCAATCTGCGAAATTCTGGCAGGTATTTAACGCTAAGGCGAGAGCCACATGTTGAAAACCACGCGCCCTCGATCCGTGAAGCTCTTGCTGAGGAGGAGGAGGAGGAAAAGGAAGAGGAGGAGTTGGAAGAGGATGAGGAGGACGAATCATAAACTTATTATATTGATGATGATGCTGATGATGATGATGATGATGATGATGAGGATGACGATGAGGATGAGGATGAGGAGGAGGAGCTGGAGTTGGAGGAGGAGGAGGAGGAGGTGATGACCAGTGTAAACACAAGAGTCGTCAACGATGTTGAAGTAAACCCTCCCTCCAAGCTCCCACTTCATGGACCCCTACAACGGTTCATGTTCATTGACGGAACTGGCTCGCTGGAAGACAACAGTTTGAAGATCCTGAAGCGTTCCAAAACATTGCTCTCGGGATTCAGCGCCATGTATCAACCTGACTGCTGCGTCTTGACGATCCAGAATCGTGCCAGGACGCCATTTTTAGGATGTCAATACAGCGAATCAACATAACTGTTGCGCCCGCATAATCTTGAATCCTTCCAAAACGCAAGTTCTGGTACGCTGATCATGGAAATCAGTGAATCTCTTGCACATTTGAACAGCGAGTGTGCGCGGCGCTAAGGCGAGAGCCACATTTTGAAAACCACCCGCCCTCAATCCGTGAAATTCTGGTAACTATTTCAAACGAATGTGCGCCGCGCTAAGGCGAGAGCTACATTTTGAAAACCACACGCCCTCAATCCGTGAAATTCTGGCAACTATTTAAAACGAATGTGCGCCGCGCTAAGGCGAGAGCCACATTTTGAAAACGACCCGCCCTCAATTCGTGAAATTCTTGCAAATGTTTAAGACGAATGTGCGCGGCGATAGTGCGAGAGCCACATTTTGAAAACGACCCGCCTTCCATCTGTGAAACTCTTGCAAATGTTTAAACGAATGTGGCTCTCATTCTGAAAACGACCCGCCCTCCATCTGTGAAGCTGTTGCCACTTTCTAAGCTTCCGAGTCTTGAATGGTGCGGAAGTCTCCGGCGAAACGCACGGCCCGCCCTAAAAACTGGCTTCGGGGTGCGACATGGAGGAGTTATTCATAAGGAGAAGGACTGGAGGAGGAGGAGGAGCAGGAGGAGGAGGAAAAGGAGGAGGAGGAGGAGGAGAAGGAAGAGGAGGAGGAGGAGGACAAATCATTAATTTATTCTACTGATGATGATGGTGATGATGATGATGATGATGATGATGATGCTGATGATGATGCTGATGCTGATGCTGATGACGATGATGCTGATGATGATGAGGATGATGAGGATGAGGATGAGGATGAGGATGAGGATGATGAGGATGACGATGAGGATGAGGATGAGGATGACAGGGAGGACTTATTTATAAGGCGAAGGAATTGAGCGAACCCGAGCTCGCCGGGGAGGCGCGCGAGCGCCTATGAGCAGCGGGCCGCTGCCGCTTGTCCCGGCGCGCGCCCAGGTCGCCCTTGCCCTGGGGCACCTGCAGGAGCCCCGAGCGCCTCCTCCTCGCTCCTCCTCGACGTCCTCCTCCTCCTCGTTGCTCCTCGTCCTCCTCCTCCTCTTGCGCCTCGTCGTCGTCCTCCTCCTCCTCCTCCTGCGTCTCCCCCCTCTTCGCGGCCTCCATACGCCATGCCCCGACAGGCACGGGCGGGCCCCCCACAGGAGCGCGCGCGCCTCCTGCCTTCGCTTCGCTCCGCTTCGCTTCGCTTCCTCCTCCTTCTCTTCCTTCTTTCTCTTCCTTCTTTCTCTTCTTCTTTCTCCTCCTCCTCCTTCTCGTCCTTCTTTCTCCTCCTTCTCTTCCTTCTCTTCTCTCCTTTCTCTTCTTCGCTTTCTCCTCTTTCTTTCTCCTTCTTTCTCCTCCTCCCCCCCTCCTTAACTTCCTTCTTTCTCTTCCTCCACAACTGCGCGCTACAAGTCCCACTGATCTCTCGTTGCCTGATGCTGTGCTGTGCGCCCCCCCCTCTCCCACATATTTGTTTCTCTAATCGCAGGATATCAGACGCTGATTTCCCCAGGGTGCTCTCCAATCGGTCGGTCCTCCACCAGTGATGCTTCCGCTGCAGCGCTGGCCGCATTTCAGGATGGGCGCGCCGCTCCCGTCGTTCAGATTTGCGCTCTAGCCACACTGGAACCACATGTCTGAGAGAGCGTGATCCACCGCCGCTTTACTGTGGAAAATCCCCCCTCTTCCTCCGGAACCCGGGGGTCCCCCCCGTAAGGGGGTCCCCCCTCCCAAATGCACCCCCTCTTGCAGGACCCCTCCCTCCTTCCCCCTGGAACCCCTCCCCCCCTAACCCCTCCCACCTCCCCCCCCCTCTCCCGAAAACCGGGGGGGGTCACTGCCGGTTCGAACCCCCCTCACCCCCACTCTGGAAAACCGGGGGGGGGGTCACTACCGGTTCGACTCCCCCCCCCTCCCCCCTCTCTGGAAAACCAGGGGGGGTCATTACCGGTTCGAAGCCCCCCCCCCATTCCCTTCAGAAAACCGGGGGGGGTCACTGCTGGTTCGAACCCCCCCCTTCGAAAACCAGGGGGTGTCACTACGGGTTCGAACCCCCCCTCCCCCCCCAACCACCATCGCCTTCCCCATTGTCCCCACCACTACCGTCCCCTCCACTGACCAGCATTGTCCCCACCACTGTCCCACCGTCCCCACTACATTCCCACTGTCCCCACACCACTGTCCCCACCACCACCGTCCCCACCTCTGTCCCACAGTCCCCACCACTGTCCCACTGTCCCCACTGTTCCCACCATTGTTTCCGCTGTCCCCACCAGTTCCCCCACCATTGTCTCACTGTCCCCACTCTCGCCACCATGGTCCCACCACTGTCCCACTCTTCCCACTATCCCCACGGTCCCTACCACTGTCCCACTGTTCCCATTGTTTCCACCACTGTCCCACTGTCCCCACTGTCCTCGCCGCTGCCCCACGTGCTGTGCTGTCCCACTGTCCACACTGTCCCCACCACAAGCCCACTGTCCCCATTGTCCCCACCACTCTCCCCACTGTACTACTGTCCCACCACCGTCCTCACCACCGCCTTCACCACTGTCCCCACCACTACCGTCACCACCGCTGTCCCCCTCACCACTGTCCCCACCACCACCGTCCCCACCACTGTCCGCACCACTGTCCCACTGTCCCCACACCACTGTCCCCACCACCACCACCGTCCCCACCACTGTCCTAGTATCCCCACCACTGTCCATCTGTCCCGAGGTGCGAGAATCGTTTGCCGGCGGCGAGAGGAGGGGGTGGTCGAGCCGGTAGTGACCCTCCCTGGTTTTTGAGGGGGGGGGGTTCGAACCGGTAGTGACCCCCCCCTCCTTTTTCATGATGGACTGGGGGGAGGGTGGGGGGGTTCGAACCGGTAGTGACCCCCTCTGGTTTTCGAGGGGGGGGGACGGGTTGGGACCCCCCAGTGACCCCCCCCCGGTTTTCCCCCAGCAGCGGCAGAGCGCACACTCGTTCACATGTCTGCATCCGAGTGCTTCCGCGTTGCCGTCATCACTCTTCCCTCTTCCGCATTCTCCCGATCGTCCTGCTCCTCCTGCTCCTGCTGGTGCTCCTCCCCCTCCTCCCTCCTGGCAGTCCTGGGCGGGCCGGGCGGGCCCTCTCGGGCGAGCCCGCGCGCCGGCACGGCGGCGACGCAGTCTCTCCTCGTCGCGGCCCTCACTGATGACGAGGCGCTGGCTGCCATGGCCAGGGCTGATGAGCCTGTTTTCCACCACCACCACCATAAGTTGGAGGGGGGAAGGAGGAGGAGGAGGAGGAGGAGGAGGAGGAGGAGGAGGAGGAGGAGGAGGAGGAGGAGGAGGAGGACCCCTCCCCGTGGTGGTGGTGGTGGAGACCACGCCCATCACAGGGCCCTGCCGATCCTGGATGTCCACATCGGTAGGCTGCTCAGCATTGTCCTTGACGTGGAACTGAACACCTCAGCTGGCAAGACGGCGGCCTCGTTGCAGCACCAGAGGTGCGCGACCCTCTTGCTCGTCGGGAGCCACGCCAGCGAGCAGGCGGCAGCCTGCGGTTCGCAGTGCCTGGGCGTGACTCGGGCATCACCGTCGTCACGTCGTACAGGCGTCTTGGCATGTTCACTTCCCTTTCGCGAGTGCAGCATGGTGGGCGCCGAGTTCCAAGCTTCTCATACGCTTCAGGCCTGTGCGCCGTGGTCTTGGAACGCTTCCGGCGTGCGCAGAAGATTCGCTTCCTTTGAGGCTGCTGGTGAGCAGGCTTATCTTCGGGATCCAGGCGCTGGTCCTGCCACTGGGCATACGATGCTCCAACCTACTTTAGCCCTCATCACCAGACAGACTTTCTATCACCAGAACAAAAAAACACCGAAACTCGAGGGTTTTCGTGTGTCGGGCCCCGGGAGACATTCGTCCGACACTGTTTCGACATTCTTTTGACACTTTTCCGGGTGCTCGAAATTGTTTTTGGGATGGGGTCCTTGAGTGCGATGGGAGCAACATAACACTAGGCATATTCAGAAGAAGCTGAATGGTGCATACATGGTCGTATTGGGACGCACCGCCGACGAGCCTCGCTTCTGCAGGACCTAGCACACAGATCGCCAGATCTGGGAGCTGTCAGGGCAGCCTGCCGTAGAGCGTCACATCATCCGCATGCGACTGAAATATCAGGCCCCGGTGGTCGCTCACCTCCCTCGGTCCTTGATAGCGCTTCTGCATGCCCGGCCTGGAGGGCATCTTTTGCAATGGGCGCAGCAAGTAGGAGCAGATGCTCTTCTTCTCCACCCTTTCCTGCCTGCCGGTTTTCCCTTCTTCTCCTCTGATCACCTCGCTTGGCACGATATCATGCTCAAGCGGTCTGAATGGAGGATAGCATGTGTTTTATCCCATCGATCTGTGTACTCGTGCTCCCCCACAGGCTGGCCAACCTGCGCAGTACGTGTTTCATTGTGGAGCTGGCTTCATCAGTTTCCGTGCCTTTGCAAGCCACCAGCGCAGCGAACACGGGCAGACGCTTGCGATTCAAGATCGTCTAGCTTCGTCTGTGTGTCCCGCATGCCACAAGGGCTTCCGTGAGCGTGTGCGGTTGTTGGCGCATGTGTCCGACAAGCGTCGCCCGAAGTGCCGCGAATAGATCATGGCCAACTGCCCTGTGCTTCCCTCCGAGCAATCTGCTGCACTTCGCGCCAACGATCGCGAATGCTTCCGAGTGCTTCCGACTTGCCCCAAGCCGGGCATGCCCATCATTTGGCAACGCTGCCAGTTTTAGTGGTTTCGTAACCACCTGTACTACTCGACGCCGCGGAGAACTATCGGTACAGCTCGATGGTTTCCCCGGCTGTGTTGTTTGTACAAAATTTGAGGCTACACTTAGTTGCCGATTCCGCATCAATATATATATATATATGTTTATATAGACAATATGTATATACACATGTTGAAATCTGTATTTGTATACACATATCACATATGTACATCTACACGTATACATGTATACATATCACTCGTGCGCTTCTGTGATAAGGCTGTTGGATACACGAGCATCGATGCACATGTGTGTGCAATCAAGACGCTGGAATAATCATTTAGCTTCGAGCGATCCTCACAGAAACCTTCGGCGTTTTGACCCAGAAGGTGCGCGCGCTCATTGGAACGATATGCGCGGGGCTCGGCGGGTAGGGTGGGCGACTCGGCGCGGGGGTGTGGTGCTGGTGGTAGCTTGGGTTGGTTATGCAGAGTGGACGCTGAGTCCGCACGGTCGCGCTTATGTTGTGTTGTGAGGTGTTGTGTTACGCGATGCTCAGTGTGACCAACTCTGTCATAGGATATGGTGTTATGCTATTGCTATGTTTTGCTATGCTATAGCAAATGATGCCGCGCTCTGTCATGTGATGGTTTGTCATGGTATGGCATGACATGCGCTGTAGTGTTGTGTTATGGTGAGGATTGTTTGTCATGGTATGCAATGTGATGCTCTGTCATGCCATATTGTGTTATACTAAGTTCTGGTGTGGTATGCTATGTTATATTACGGCATGTATGTTCCGATCTGTCATACCATGCGTTGTTTGTGGTATTGTGATATGATATGCTACGTCATGTTACGCGATGGTGTGTCGTGTTCTGCTTTGGTATGTTCAGTTATGCCTGTTTTGTTATGCTATGCTTGGTTTGTCATGCTATGGTGCGATCTCTGCTGTGATAATGTGCTATGGCATGCGCTACGCTGTCATGGTGCGTTATGTTACGATATGGTCTGTCACGATATGGTACTTTATCCGCCGATGTGTTCTGTTCGGTGGTGTGGTGTTATGCTCTGTTCTGTGGGGGACCCCGGGATCTGGCGACCGCGGTATGCGGAGTGGGCGAGTCGGGCGGGGGCGGGACCACCAGGGATTATCGGGAGCCTGGGGATCTGGCGGCCGCGGTATGCAGGGCGGGCGGGCCGGGAGGCCTGTCTTCAAAATCCAACGACCCCCACCTGACGGGTGGGGAGGTACCGCCCTCGGCCCCGGAGGGGCCCTGCTCGTGGGGACACCGGTCCTTCGACCCAGGTCGGGAGACCTGCTCGTGGCAGAGGGCCGCCGTCGCCAGAGAAGAAGCCCTCCCTGACCTTCCAGAGAGCTATTTTTTAGCACTGGAGGCCTAAAAACCAAAAAAACTAAGCGAAACAGCCTAAAACCAAGACGTATAATAGCTCTGGGATAGGTTTTTAGGTCGGGTGCCATTTTTTGGCCCTCTTGGAAGGTCAGGGCTTGGACCTGCCGCGGCAGGAGCCCATGCTGCAGCTGGCCGCCTCCGCCGCCTCGCCCCCGGAGCTGCGGCGCAGGCGGGCCCCGGGGCCGCGCCCGCAGCCTATCATCCGCGCCCCTCTCCCGGTGCCCCCCGGTATACGGCAGGGGCGCGAGCCGTCGGGGGCTCCCTCCTCACGCGGTGTGGTGCCCACGCACCGTGCGGTGAGTCGGTGGGGCTCTCCGGGGCCGCCGCGCGGTTTTGGGGCTCGGGCCGTTCTCCGAGGCTGTCTCGGGCGACAGGGGCCTCCAGGGTCTCAGTTTCCAGGAGGGGGCTAAAAGATAACACCCGGCTTAAAAGCCTGTCCCAAAGCTATTCTACGTCTTGGTGTTAGGCTGTTTCGCTCAGTTTTTTAGGTTTGTAGGTTTCCAGTGCTAAAAAACGACAGGTCACCGCCTACCAAACCACCCCAACCCGACCCGAAGGCTTCAAATGGCCCTCCATTTTTCCAGCGGGGAGGCTCGGGGCACATTTTGAAAAAACACACGGAGCCCGTACCCCCCCCCCAGCCCGAAATTTCGGGTCAGATTCGGGTCTTCGGGTTGGGTCGGGGTGGTCTGGTAGGTAGTCCACAGGGGCCTCCGGGGTCTCAGTGCCGTGCGGTGGCGGGCCGCGCGGTGAGGCCTCTCGGGGTCCCGAGGCCACCGCACGGTCTGCCACCGCGGGCCGCGTCGCGGCGCGGCCCCGAGTCCTGGCGCGCGGGCGCTCCAGGTCGAGTCCGGGGACGATTTTTTTTTTGGGGGGGGGGTATTTTTGACGATTTTGTTTTTATGGGGGGGTATTGTAGGGGGACAGGCTCGACCTGATCGTAGCTCCGTCTTTCGGGCGCACTGGCGTCGACTCCGGCGCCCGATGGGCGACGGTATGACGCCGATGTGACATTGACGGGCGCAGCTTTGGCGCCGAGCAGCGTCGAGTCGCACGAGCCAACGAGATGGGACAGGAGGCTCCCGTGCGCGTCGCTACCGAACGTGCCGCCAGTGGCCTGGAGTCGGCCTCGAACGATCTGCACGATCGGCGAGCTGCAGTCGCTCGGAGACGGTTCGCGCGGCATCGGAGACCAGCGCCGACGTCGTCGCGGTGTGAGCTCGCCGCCTCCCCCCGCTTGCCCTTCGTCCGAAGCCTTGCGGCGATGACCTGTCGACGGACTGGGCCACGCAGGTTTCACAGTTCTTGTTTGCGCGCCGCACGGATGGCGCCACGCAGACTTCGCGACGTGGACTGCACCACACACACTGCACGGCATATCCTGCGCGGCGTAGGTTGCACAGCATATGTTGCATCGTGTAGATAGCACCACGTGTGTTGCTTCACATAGATCGCGCCACGCGTATTGCATCACACACACACGCACTGCTCGACGCATAGTTGGGGCCCGCGCTGGCTGACACCAGGAGCCTCCTGGATGAATCTGAGGGTCTCTTGGGATGCATCTCTGGGGACATCTAGTGGCCGTCGGCCCATACCGCCACCGTGCTTGCGTTGTGGGTTGGGGGCCTCTTGGATGTCCGTTTGGATATCGTGGGAGGCCTCTCGGGGGCCTCGTGGAGGCAGTTTTGAAGCCTCTTGGTGGCCGTTTGGGGGATTCGTGGGGCCTCTTTTTGGGCCTCTTGGGGGCCTTGTGGGGCCTGTAGGGGGCCTCCTGGGCTCTCTTGGAGGCCTCTTGGGGCCTCATGGGGGCCTCTTGGGACGAAAGGCTGGAATTGTCGGTTCGTGTTCTCTCTCTTGGGCCCTTTTTTGGGCCGTCTTGGGGCCCTCTCGGATCTTGGAGCGTCGGAAGCCCGAACACGCGAGAGCGCGACAAGCATCGAACAACACAAGGAAACTCAATGAGTATTGCCTCATTGGGCCCGCTTGGGGGTCCTCTTGGAGCGCTTTGGGGGCTTCTTGGGGGGCTCTTGGGTCGTCTTGAGGCCAGTTTGGGCTGTCTTGGAGCGCTCTTGGGCTGTCTTGGAGGCCTTCTGGACCCTCTAGGGCGCTTTTTGGGGCCCTCTTGGCCCGTCTTGGGGCCCCCTGGCCTTTGGAACAGTCGCACGAGGCAGCCCAGGAACGCGCGGGGGCGCTCAGGAAATTTGATAGAATCTGGGGGCCCAGCTCCTACAATAACACTAGAATCCCCCAGTCCTGAGCACAGAGAACAGAGAGCCTGGGGGTAATTCCACTTCGTGCCTCGAGGCACCGTGGCGGATCTTGGGGACATGTGGGAGGCTTTTTGGGGCCTCTGGAGGGCTTCTTGGGGGCGTCTTGGAGGTCTTTTGGGGCCTCTTGGAGGGCCCTCGGGGGCCTCTGGGGGGCTCCTGGGGCCATTTCGGTGGGAAAGGCTCGAAGTGTCAGTTCGTAGTCCCCCGCTTGGGCTTTCTTGGAGGCCTCTATGGGAACTCCAGGGGCTGTCTTGGGCCGTCTTGTGGGGCCCCTGGGGCTGTCTTTGGACCCTCTTGGGCCGTCTTGGCGCCTTCTTGGAGGCATCATTGGCAGTCTTGGGACGATCTTGGGGGCCACTCGGGCTGTCGTGTTCGCTGTCAAAACGTAACATGCGAATGTGCTGAACATGTATTTGTTTACAAGAAGGGAAAATGAGATGATGTTGGTCTCTTGGGGCCCTCTCCGCGACCCTCTGGAGGCGCTTTTGGGCTGGGCTGTCCTGGGCCTCGTGGGCCGTCTTGAAGCCATCTTGCACCGTCGTGGGGCTGCCCCGGGCCGTCGGGACGGTTTCTTCGATTTGTCTTGGCGCTCCGCCGTGGCCCTTTTCCGCTGCCTCGGGGCCTTTTTCAGGATGACGCAGGCGCCGGGGGTGCGCTGACGAGCCCGGTCCCTCTCCCCCCCTCCCCTTCCCCCCCCCCCTCACCCCCCCCCCTCGAGTTCCACAAGACTACTTTGATCGTCGGGTGGGTGTAAGTGCGGTAAGAGCGTTGTATATCCGATGAAATCGTTTCAACGAAGATGTATGTAGGTTGATGCTAGTTGACCTCACATATTCAACATATATAAAATATCGAACTTCGCATTCATCTACTTAACGTTTTGTTAGATAAGTATATTCAACAACATACCATACATACTACTCACAGAACCATCCATCTTATAAACTGAGCTATCGGGTACCACTGCCAAGATATATCGATACATACACCTCAACATACCCAACTTAGTAGCTAAGTCAGCTAAGTCGATGTGGGCTGTCCGATTCGGTTAACCC